TTTGTGGAGTACATAGGTATCTTTCTTCCAATTATGTTTATCTCAAAGCCATAAATATTTCGTGTTAATTGGGTTTTCGCTCTCCCTTCTCCCTCTCCGGTGGGGAGGGGGCTGAGGGAACGTCGTGGACACAGTTCAAACCACGACACTACATACATTTTTTCTCCCCAGATTGCTTCTTGTTATGGATTGCAGATCCTGCTGAGAAACTTCCAAGTAAGCACATACATTTATGCAAGACAGTGGAAGAAGACATACAGGTAGTAGTAATAATTTTTATTTACAAACTGTACTTGCCATTACAATATTGCCTTTTGGGAATAATGATAAAACAGCCAACAAATTAAAGAGAACATTGCAGACCTCTTCTTTCAGAAATTCAACCCTATTTCAGCTTTTAGCATCAGGTAAACTGGAGATGACCTTCTTTTTCAACTGATCTCCTGGGAAGCTCCAGTTCAATTTGGGTTTGGGTATTTCATGGTAATCTCAGCTGTTAAAATAGAAATTGCTTCCTCACATCCGGGGGAACATTCTGCATGCTTTATTTAAGTGCCTGTCATTTGTTGCTACCTTGCAGCCTCTTCCACTTGTTTTTTTTTTTTCATTCCTCAGTCCTGTGTCAAGGTTTCAGCATTATGAAGCTTTCATATTGTAAAAAACTGTTACATGATGCTCTTCATTATGAGAAGCTGTAAATCAAAGCACCATCAAAGCACTGAGTAAGTATTTCCATCAAGTTCTAAAAATATCGAGTTGTTTGAGATGCAGTCCCAATATGAGGCATCCTTTGGTCTTGGCTGAAGTATGTTTCTAAATATTCAACCGATATGACAGATTTGTGGTGGTAAGAACAGAAGGGGAGTAAAGAGCATCCAACAGAATTAAGTATGGTCACTGCAGTCCATAACAAATAAGCTGGTAGTTTAAATTTAGGTGAAATCATCAATTTCCTCTACAGAATAGGGAAGGCAAATGTTATGAGAATAAGAGGAATCAGTTATATTGACAAATAAAAAATGTCTAAAACCTTATTCTGACAACAAAAGGGCTGCAGTTAACAGGGAAAAAATCAGGATTTCATATGCAGAATACAAAGACCATCAAATATAGATGCCTCATGGATACTCAGTTTGAGGGAATCTATCTCTAGTCATGTTTTAAGTGTGATGGATATTTAAAACAACTCCTACTACAGGAAACTGTGATAATTGACCAAGTTACACAGTGCAGAGACTACAGTTTCACAAGACAGAACCAACATGAAAAACACACAAGCACTTGCTTTGCTGTGCAGAGCGTTTAACAGGACATGAGCTCGTCCCTTTCCAAGAGAGGAACATCTGGCTGTGTAATGCCTTGACAAGTCGTGTAACTCTGTTGAAGGATTTCACAGGACAGGAGGGAGAGTATGTCCACAGCAGCATTATTAAATTCATTAGCACATAAACAAACCCAGCAAATGGGATTAGATTTCTTATTGGTAGGATACTCCAAAGTGCACCAGGGAAGCTGCCAGCTCACACTGTTTATCAGAGCAGTTCTAAAACTGTTCCCAGATGGGAAGGCAAAAGCTGCCCAAGTTGTCATTAATCACTCTTTAGCTCGTCAGAAAAGACATGAAATCACGTTTGTAACATTTGTATTATACACTCTGTGTTTTGCAAAACATCATCTACATCATGATATATTACATATTGTTGGAATATAAATTCAGCATTTCCACAGCTTGACCACTACTAGGAATGCATTATCATTTTTAGGCTTCATTTTTGGTAACTATTAAAAAATAAAATGCATGAAAACATTCATAATTATAGTGACAGTTCTGTGCTTTAGAAAGTGATTACACCACTTAAAGCTCCAGTCCAAAAAGAGTCCCCAACAAAATAACTTTAGGACCGGAAACCTCAACTCTGGAAATCAGTTTGTGAATTATTTTTCTGCTTTGAAGCATGGAAAGTTTATTACCATACATTTTACAACATTGTACAATTGACTTTCTGATTCATTAATCAGAAAAGCTGAACCACATTTGCCTCCAGGAGATGAGAGAGCAGGTGCTGCACAGATTAGGCATGAATCAGTTATGAAGATACTGGTCATTAAAAAAAACCAAAGTCTTGTTAAATTAATGCCTAATGAGCTAAACACTGGTCTGGTCCATGATAATTGCTTGAGAATCTTGCACTGGAAGCGGGTACACTTTTGATTATAGCTTAAATCATATCCATATGCAGTGAAATTCAATAGTGTATTCTTTTTCTAAGGAGATTGTGACCTCCATTGCTATGGTGTTGTGAATGAAAGCTTTAAACTATTATCTTAGGTTGAAACTCTCCTGCCAACATCGCAGATTTTAGGTCAGAAAAAGGATGAAAACAAAACCCTTGTTAACTTCAGCAGGGATTTCCATTTAATTCTCCAGTGTCAGACTTCCCCTTTTGAACCCAATGTTGGGGTTTTTAATAAAACCACCTTCCATTAAAAAAAATTATGTATAATTTGGCATTCATATTTTGGCTACAGAAGACTTGAAATGCAGCTCTCTATACAAACATGTAGATTATCAAAGAAATAATGAAAATTCTCATTTATTTGAAGTCCTTGAAGGCTTATGCAGTAAGAGGCAGAGACTCTCCTGTTAAGAGCAATGTTTCTGAGTGTATTTGTATTCTCTACAGTAGATTTCAAGGCTGGTTGAGGAAATTTAAGGGGTTCTTTTTAGAGCTCTATCAGAATTTGGAACATTTAATGAACAGTAGAGAGAGTGAACAATAGCAGAGTGTGAGAGAGATGCTCACAGAATCAAACAGCCACTACATAGCATCAGCATGTGTTGGAAAGCATGGCTGACTTTCTGTTGGCATCCCTTCTCCCAGGAAAGCAATGCATTTGAAACTCATTCTGAAAATGTTACTGATTACCCAACTTTAGGGAATGCAACTGGGAAAGCAGAAAACACTGGGTTCTCTTCTGCCACTAAATAGTAATAAGGCCTAAGCAAGACATCTCCTCTTGGTATTCATTCTCCTGTACACAAAATGATGGACTAACAGTGTTATCATCTCTAAAGAGTGATATGCTGTTTAATGAAATGCAATTAATGTGTTGGTTTAACTTTATATTAAAAGCAATGTTTACATCTGTAAATTGAATTTCTGTTCAGCAGGGTAAAGGGATTAAAGCTATTTCTACAACTGTGAATCATTATTCTCCTATTTGCTCAGATCTTCTACACTTCCCTGTCTGGAGTAACAGGGAGGCAAAATAATTTAAGAGATGAGCCCTCATTTCTAAATCAGATATAAAGAGGTCGTTTGTACCTCCAAACAGAAGCACAAGAGATGGAGAGATTTCCACTAAAATACCACTTTGCCTAGAGATTTTTTTTTTAGATAGCAAGTCTAGTTTAATGGTACTCTCACCGTAAGTTTACTGTACTTCACAATTTCCCTTACATGCTTCAGGTATATAAAAGTTGGACAATCTTGCTCATTGTAATTATGAAAAGTAAATTTGGTTTGATATTATTTTCAGACAGAATGAGTTGTATTATTAACTTCAAAGTTTAACAAAACTCATAGCCAGTAGGTCCACAAAACAGATGTATGAGCCTTAGCACTTCATCTTCCTTTTTACTGGATAAAGGCATGGAAAGCTGATGGCTGAAAGTAGCCTGGTCTGGAACTCCCTCTGGGATTCTTTCTAGTCTTATGAACTTAAAAGAAGGATGAAGTGACAGCAAGCAGATCTCTGTGTTTACATGACTCCAGAACAGTCCTTTCTGGAGACAAGAGGGAAATTCCTAAAAAAAGTTGTGAATTGTTTTTCTGCCTGGGATACAACAAAGTCTTTTTATATTGTGTCTTTGTTTTGGTTTAAACCAAACTGTTTGGTTTATGTGGAAGTTGCCAGGTAAGGCTCAGGTATACCATTGTGCAGGATTTCACAGGATGCTTCTCTCTACCACCAACTGATAGACACTAAGATTTGGGATTTGACAAAATTGAGGTAGCATTTCTTAGTAAAAGGAATATTTAACTTACTGCTTTTGTTTATGGATACTGAAAAGTCTATCCCACACCTCTTCACAACTAGAATCATTGAACTTATTAAATTCTTTGGGACTCAATATGTATAGATATTACTTGCTACTTTGAACCCAAATTTTCTTTACCATTTTGAAAGATCCTTAAAACTTGCAACTAGTATAAAGAAATACTACCACCACTACTGCTACTACTACTATTACCAACAACAAAAATATTCAATAAGACCTCGAGACCAAAATTAATGAAGTAGGAGTATGAAAACTGCAGGAAGAAAAAACCAGCAGACATGTTACAGATATGGACCTTTGTAAATTGCTTTGCAATTGATGTTGCATCAATATTATTATAGCAAAGATGGTCACTGGCAGCACTGACACTCACTGTTCAAAAAGCTCATTGAAATGTCTTGTTTCAGCCATCTGCAAGCTTAGTTTGAAACTTGACATTTTAAAAGGTTGACATTTTAAATAAGTCAACCTTTATTCTGTCTCATTTGAAAACACTTGTATCTGCTTTGTCGGAAAGAGGGGAACTGATAGTTCAGAATGGAAAAATCTTCTCGTGATATAGACAGTTCTGAATAAAAATAAGTTAAATGCTTATTTTATAATAAGTAAATTTTTAAAAAAATTATGGATGGCTTAAGTCACAAAAGAGTGGAAGTCTTAAGAGAGAAGCATCTGGATCAAAAGAAGTGTCAGCCACAGAAAGAATACGGGAATAGCTGGTGGAAAGTGACTCCAGAGCAAAGGCAAGGCTTGGCCACAATATTGTGAAGCCTATGAAGAAACAAAGTAAAAGAATGAATGCAGGTCTTACTCTTCTTGAACCTTCTATTCTTTTGTGTCCCTTATGGGGACACTTGTAACACAATCTGGTCTCTTGCCCATCTACTGTTGATGCTTTGTGACATTACAAAGGACTGAGAAAGACTCCTGCAAATGTTTTTTGAATATGGAAACCCTTTCACTTTATTGTCTCCCTTCCAGTAGGTGATGGAGGGGTAGGTCTGCTGTACTGATGATTCTCCCCAGGTGCAAAATTGGATTATTAATTATGATATGCTTACCTAGAAACAAACTAGTTGCTGTTAAAGACGTATGTTTTGATTAGATGTGTTTCTGCTGTTTTACTCTGCTACATCAATAGAGTTAGAATGACACCAGAACCTTGCTTTTTCCTTCTGCTCACTGATAGGTCTCAAGACTGAAAGCAGGTGCTCTGTCTCAGATCTGGCTGTTCAAAAGCTTCTAAAGTAGAATTTAGCTGGAGCAACTGGTGCTGGACTGAAGTTGAACTACCTTTTTCAACTGGCAGTAATGATTACATATAATGAATAACGAAGTTCCTATGCAGACAACCTTATTTCTGCTGCTCACCAGACTCCTCACAGAAATGTGCATGTGCTTTCTTATCATTCATGGATTGAAATGTCCTGTGGCTGCTGGAGCAAAATACCTGATTTTAAGCTTTCATGAGGTGTTTTTTCTCCATCCAACTTGGTGTACTACCCACAAGGATATCCTCAGTGAAAACATGAGTATTTAAGATATGGTTGCGTTGGGAAGCTACCGGAAAGAACTGGGATCAACGCAACACTTCTCCCACACCATCTTCTTACACACTTTTCACACTTTTTCTGGTCTTCTAAGAATGACTCTGCCTTCTCAGTGACACTGCCTGTTTATTATGGCTGAATTTGTAATGTTTAACAGAGATCTGAGCACCGCTTGTCTGCATGTTCAGAAGTGGCCTTTAATCTTCAAAGGGTGGCCACTGTGGCAAGGGCATGTCTGTGTTGTACAGTCCTCACTCCACATCTGACAACAAAGGCTACCACTCAACCAATGCAGGCTCATTTAGATGAGTCAGGGGGTATCTAAGTGACCTAACTTGTCATAGTTCTGTCACCTCCAGCATGTAAACTAACAGGACCTGTAGAGACTGAATGTGGTGAGTGGTTGAATGACACCAATTTCATCAAACCCTCCAGCAGAGCCCTGAAGGGTGGAGCAAGCCTATTTCAATGGAAAGGGCAGGGAAGGTATGCTTATTTCCATGGAAAACCGATGCAGAAGAGCCTTAACTTATGGCTGGTATGTAGACAGTACTGAAAAAAATAGACGGGGGAAGAAAGAGACAATAGAAAACTCTCTGGAGAGGAAAAACTAGGGTAAGACTGCCTAAGTTATGTTCTCTGAATAGAGCTGGGTGGGAGAGGATGTGTGTTGTGTGTATTAAAGAAAAACAACCCACTTTTAGTAGGTCCCTTTAAACTGTTTGCCTGAAATACAAAGTACACAAAGCCTTGTGGGTATGTTTAGTAAAGTACTAGAATCTGCTCTTTTCAAGCTGTAAAAGGATAGAGATTTGGTTAATGGAAGTTTTGTCACCTGTGTACTGGGATGATCTAACAGCAGAGAGAAACTAAACTGGGCTATCACCAGTAGTACATTCCCAAGTACAGACAGAAACTATGTCTTCTTCATGTCACAGCAGCAAGGATGACAGGCTACAGGAGAGTCAATGTACAAAAAAATGCGGTAGTTGTTCTGGGAGGAAATGAAATAGTGTCCAAAAGTGCAACCAGATGCAATAGGTACCTGGAAAACACAGATTTAAAGGTTCTTTGCGCAGGATTTCTATGTGACTGGAATTCTATTTTAGAAGCTATTCTAAGTACAGGAACACTGCTGGTAGTGTAAACTGTCTTCAGTTCCATCACAACACAATTTGGCAGTTCATTCATCTGCAAAGTTATTGCAGTTTCTCAACCTGTTGCCCATGGTGCACAAACAGATTTCTAACATCTGGAAATGAACAGCACAGTAATTTTCCTTAGTGTAATTTAATTGCCATAGCAACCAGGAGGCTATGAAAACTTTACAGACAAGGGAAATGGCCTTAAAAAAGTGCAATAGCAAGTAATTAATAGATTCTTAGTGCCATTTTATACTTACCAACTGAAGCTGCACACTTGGACCATTTCTAGATGTAAAATCTCCCTTTTATCTTTCTGACAGTCCCTGAGATTTTCAAATCCTGTTTTATCTTAGCTTAAAAAAAAAAAAGGCAAAGATACTAGACTTCACAGACAAGTGGTGAAGAATCTCTTCTGCAAACTCAACTGTAAGAAAAGTAACAAGTTGCTTTCCAACATCTGTTAAGGGAATACAGCTCAAAGCCTTCTTTTACATTAACCTAAACATCTTCATAAAGCCACAGGAGGGGGTGGTTTAAAACACTGCAATAGCTACTTACAATCCAATTATTGTTGATACTACTCCCTTGCTGGCAATCAGTGCTTTTTGAAGCTTATGTTAGCTCTGCTATTTGTGCTTTATGCTCTGCAGTCATCCACAGAAACTGACTATTTGCTTGATWCCTCTTCCCTTGTTTTAACATTAGCTTGTGTGATGCTTGAAAAGGGAATGATTTGCACCAGAGAGAAAGAGGTTCTGTTGTTCCCTTTACTGGTATTTATACTAACAGTTGCATCAACATCATGTTCAGCAGTTTGAACTCATAGGAATTTCCTCATGCATACAACAGATTTAAATCCATTGACTCTACAGTAACAGCTTTTAACTACCTTGAATACACAGCAATTAGATTGTGGCAAAATACATACAGATACCAGAATGTTTCAGTGCAGTTTAATACAGCATCATACAGCATTATTAGTGCTACATAGAAGCAGGGTAGTACATCAGATTTTTGGCACAGATTATACTAGCAGAAGTGTTAGAAGCATTAAAAATTTCACTCTGGAACTGTACTGGTATGACCCCTTTTAGCTGCAGGAGTTATATTCTTGTATACAAACGTTTACATGAGTAGTTCAGAACAGTAATGTGCAACAGCCACAGATCAGTGAACAAAGGGCAGTGGAATTCACCTGTGATTTTACTGAAGACGCTGATGTAATTTAAAATCCAGGATATGCACTAAGCAACCCCCTGATATAGTCTGAACACACAGAGCTGGTGAAGCAAAACGCCTTACTATTTGTTTAAAAACACCTCCTGGGCCCCACTGCACTGAAATGGCAAAAGTCTAGGGTAAACTCTAGGACAGGAAGGGTGCTCACATCCCAAGCATCTGCCCAACTGTCTCTAGCCCAGAAGACAAAGGCTTCTTAGTATCATCATGGAAGCAATGGGAATGAGATACAGCTTTTTTTTTTTTTTTGCCAGATCTAAAAGAGTTTAAAGGGAAGGCCTAGATTTGAGGTCTAACACTCAAGAGCTATTCGTTTTGTAAAAGTAAATTAAGAAGTTCAGGTTGAGAACTTATTGTTAAATGCTACATCAGTAAAGCACAATTTCAGTGCAAATGGCAGAAAATGAAACTGAATCAGTTTGTTCTTTGTGAGACATAGATACAGGCAAGAAATTTGATTGTGAATTAATGACTGAATGCCGAATTCAGTTGTTGAGTGTAAGCACAAATTGATTTCTTTAATTTCTTGTGCTGCAAAAAGTTGTTTGGGCCATCTCAAATGATAAAGAAGTTTATCTAGTTACCTACATCAATTGGTATGCACATTTCTGAAAGCCAGAGACATGAAAATCATTACATGATTCTTCACCAGTGAGTGTAGGCAATCCTCCCTTTTCTCTGCCAGTTCAAGAAGATGGAAGGAAGGCAAGCATCAAGATTTGGGGAAGAGAGAACAAAGTATTTCCTCATTAAGAATTTTGAAAAATATTCTAAGAAGGAGTTTATTTCATTGCAAGACAGTCATGTATAAATTGGACCACATGTATGAATTTGAATTCAGAGCAATTGCTAGGCAGAGAAGTTTACCAGCACCTGCAGTGCTGGTAAAAAGCACTGACAGACAAATGGATTAAAGAATTTTCAAACTGTAACATTAGATACTTACACATCCCTGTTGCATGAGCAAATCCTCTGACTTCAGTGAGATTACTCAGAAGCACAGCTTGAAAACCAAACACTACACAAAACTTCTCTTCAGAAGGTGAATAGCTACTTGTAGAATTTCCATATAATGCATTTTTCAAATGCTCCCCCTGGTGATGTCTAATGAAATAATTCATATAAAGTTAAGAGCGCATAAAGATGTCCTTAACAAGAAAAGCAACCCGACTGCAAAAGTAGTCATCCATTCTGCTGACCAGAATCTATTTTACCTAGAAAGTGTTCCCAGCTTTGACATTCGGACAATGCTACATTTCAGTACATTACTTCTAATTCTAAAGAGAAGGAATTCGATATGAACTTTTAACATACCATTTTAATTGAAATTTTAATATTCCTAATTATTTAACAATTTCAATGTGCACACTGAGTGCMACAGAAGAATGAATATTCCACATTATAAAGCTGGAATGAAAACCCAGACCTGAAGTTTGAACTATTACAGTATGCATCTTGGGTAACAACCCACCCAGTGTGTGGCTGCATTACACACACACGTGGCTGATTTATGTTCCGTTTCTATGATATCAGCAAAATGTAGCAGTGACCCAGTTCACTCTTAAACACAGGAGCAAACAGTAACAAATTGTCATGGTTTTGCTTGGCCCAATTTTTGGTGGTGGGGGATGGGGATCAAGAAACCACAAAGTTGGCTGCTGTGAGCAGTCCTAGGGGTGTCTCCTTCTTCTTCTTCTCCAGCAAAGAGAGCCCTGCCCCACTCCTGTGTTTCAGAGCCAACCCATCATTGGTTCTGAGGTTGATGGACAGGCTGACCATCAGGCCTGGGCCAATTRCACARGATAGTTACACCTCTGTGATGRCGTATTTTGTAGTATTTAAGAAAAAAATCAAAACAAGATAGCTGCGGCCGCCATGTTTAGGTTAATTGATAGCATGTAGTTTTAGTATCTTGCACTGGAAAAAAACAGAGCAGGAGGGTGAGGAGATGTAAGAAGAAAAATGGAGACATCTAAAGATCATAGAACAGTAAGGAGAAGCTGTGCCCTTGCTGTGGTTCTCGGACCAGCTGGAGGAGATAAGTTGTTCTTGAAAAGGACTATTTCCATCATATTGAGAGAGACCTGTATAGAGAAGTAAAGCGACCTTGCTGTGAGGGAAAAAAACCCCTGGCCTTTTGAGGACCGGACTCTTTTTGATTATATTATGAAGCCAAGAAATAGAGAAGAGGTTTGCTCCCCCCACGAAGTTTTGATGTAGAAGAAGCTGTGTTTGGTGTTCTGCCAGGAGGTTTGTGATAATCGGACTCACGTCGCTGAAAAAAAACAACATGGGCTTTGAAGGACATTTCTTTTCTTTTCTCCTGCAAGGTAAAGAAGTTCCTTTCTGCTATTAGCAGTTTTTTACTGACTGTTTCTTAGAAAAGGACACATCCCACAGCTGGAGCTGTAAGAATGTTGTATCCTACAACGCTTGGACAACAGCTGACTGTTTTGATCTGTGTTAGACTTTCATTCCTGCCCCCCTGTGTGTGAGGGACAACATGGGAGGGGTGGAGATGGGGGGACTTGGGAGAAGAGATGGGTCCCTGGGAAAGTGTAACAGGTGTCTTAAAATGTCCATTTTATTTTTCTTCTCTTTGTAAATATCCCTATCTTTGTTTTTCACCCAGTGCCGTAATACTTCTTTTTAGTAGTGTGTAGTAATAAATCTGTTTTGCAACTTAAGTTATGCAGCCTGTCTGACTATTGTGGAGCATATAGGTATCTTTCTTCCAGTTATGTTTATCTCAAAGCCATAAACATTTCGTGTTAATTGGGTTTTCGCTCTCTCCCTTCTCCCTCTCCAGTGGGGAGGGGGAGAGGGAACGTCGTGGGCACAGTTCAAACCACGACACAAATAAATTAAATTTTTGCTGGAAGACTTAGTCACGAGTTATACAACTTCTTTACAAAAGGCAAAGAGAAAGAAAGTGAAATGGACTTGATGGACAAACAGTATGCAAACAAAGCAGTAAGGAAAAGTGCATCAACTCAAACTTCTGAAAAAGGAGCAACTTACTTACCTTAAAACCTAAGAAGTCAGTTGAACAAAGAGCAATGCCCATATTCTCAGTGTGTTCATTACAGAAGAATCCCTTCACTAACAAGATGTAAGCACTCTTTTCTTTCACAGGTTCATGAAAAAAAGGATTTATTTTGTTCTTTCATTTTATCATCAAATGCTATTTCCAGAGTCCTACTGTTACTATGAAATGGCTTCATTAACCAATGAGGAAGTGATATATCCTCTCTCCATTAGAAATGTGGGGAAAAATGATGTTTGCCATATGGTAAAAAGAAAAAAAAACCTGGTGAGGAAGTATGGGCTTAAGCTTTCTGGATATCACGGCAAAAAAGGCAAAGCTTAAATTGACTTTAAGTACATTATATTTATAGTTCTGAACATGTGATACAGCTGTTCAACAATGACGTATTTAAATTTTACTGTAATTGCAGAATTTCTGCCAGAAGCCAGAAAGGTGAATAATTTTTAAGTTTTTGGTGCTGATTCTTGACYAAATGACTGGAGTCTTTAGCAGTATGATGTACTTAAAATTGTTGGGTCATATCTTGAAGCCCACTGGAGCAGCAGCTTAACAGATGGCATTATGGAAGGTCTGCATGGATTAAACAGTGCTTCAAGATTATTTCCTCATTTCTCTTTCTGGAACATTTACCTTCACTGCTGTCTCACATCTGGTTCCAGGAGTTAAGAGTTATTACCAGATGAGTCTGGCTTTGGTGCCTGGGCCAATTACAATGCCAAAGTGGAAAAATCCATCTTTGTAATGTGCAAGGGCAGCTCATACTGGCTACTGTGTAAGAAGTCCCATCTCTAAGACTCTTATTTTCTCATGAATCCTTTACCTTTCCTTTCTTCCTTCCAAACCTAGACTCTTTCTCATGCCTAACTGAGAGCACATCATGGCTTCACTCTCCTAAATAAAATCATATTCATCTTCCCAAGATCACCAAATATTGCAAAAAATAAATTGCATTCAATCACACAGGAAATGACAACAAAAAGGTGACTTGGTTAAGCACACTAAAACTTTTTTTCTGAGCTTAACAGCACCTGACAAGGTTTCAAAAAAAGAAAAAAAAAAGGAAAGAAAATGTCACACTTCACTTTTCAAAATGACATTGATTAACTTACGTATAAATTCTAAAGACTACAACTTGTCAATCATCTCAGTTTTGCTGGTACCTATTACAGATAACAACACTGATCTAGATGCCCTTTAAGGCACAGTTGTTTTGATTCTGGGATGAAGATTTAACCATTTTTGATATCCAGCAGGCATTATGTTCTCAGAAGCAGCCTTTTTGAATACAATACTAAAATAAGAGGGGCAACTGGGGGAAGAGAGAAGTGACATACTTTAGACTCTGGTCCTAAGAGCACAGGAGACTAAGCACGTTTCAACATGTTAACACCTTCTTGTATTTTGAAGTTGTTCCTGAAGGTGGTATTAACCTACACATTTTATCCTGAAACAGACAAAGAGTAGAGGACTATTCTACCGCAGCAAAAGACAAGTTACTATGAACAGCTTAATGTGATTCCTTGTGCTTTTTTACCTAACCATGCCTTAGAACTACAAAAATATGTTTTGAGTATGTAAGAGGCTTAAAAGAACACATGTATTTTGAAAACTAAACTAATGTTTTTATTTAACAAAGTTTTCACACTCTATCTCGGCTTAAAAGCCAAGATCAACAAATAATGACACGTTCAACAAAAATGTATCTAACTACTGCAGGCTTAACATGGCAAGTTAAGAACATGCCTGAAGTTGGAACTATTTATTTTTTATTCTAGATTATGATATTCACTACTGGATTTCAGATGGATCTTCCATGTAAAGACAAGCTCTAAAAAAGGCAACTCACTGTTTTCTTCTTCTAGTATAAAAATATTGCATGTACACACACAGAACAATTCTGGCAATGATGCTTGTCCTAAATAAAAAGAAAAAATAATTGAAAAATGTAAAACAGATTAAAAAAAAATCCATGCATGTGCTAATATCAAATCTATAACAGTGTTGTTCATTCTGTACTATTCTAGCAGGTATGTCCAAAACCAACATTCACATTTATTTAAGCTTGATGTTTTATGTGCTCTCTAGACTTAAATAGCCACTGAACAGACTTGTTACCATAATCCAGAAATTTCTGATATTGATCCAAATATATATATTTTAAAACACAAAAGCAAATGATTCCAGAATTAGGTTTGTGACTCAAGCGTTGGTTCAACAAATTAAACTTTCCAAAACCAATACATTCTTTTCCTGAGATGACTAAAAGTCATGTTTCAACTTCATATTACCCTGAAATTAACAGAAATTGTTATGCACAAAACCAGGCGTTACCTACAGCATACAAGCACATTTACAGGAGTCACCTAATTTCACTGTTGTGAACTACTATGTTAACAGACACCTTAACAAAGCTCCTAAAATATTCTTTATACATTACAAAACAAGGGTTTACAAAATTTTATTTCCAAGTTATTTCATTCTAAAAATGTCGAAACATAAAAAATACCACTTCCTAAGAGACTTTACAACAAAAGGCTAACAATCTGGCATGGACGAGGTAAGTATATGGAAACCTGTTTTAACAGTCACAAATCAGTCGCTGGTGATTAAAGAACACTTTGTTCTTCAAAGCTGGTAAGCACTTCCACATAGCCAGAAATACAACTTTTCCTATCACTCCTTTTGCCTCCCATACATAAAAATATCCAATGCAATAAAAAAGTAAGATACAAGGGTGGACATGTGATGAAATAAAAGTATTATCTAAGGTCTTGATTACTGTTCAACTTGTGTAAGTGTAAAGATTCTGTCCCAAAGTTTTTCTGACAAGATGGAGTTACTTGGCCTTTAAGTGTTAGCTGAAATACCTCCCTTTTTTACCAGTACATGTTGTTTGTTCACTGCTGTATTGCTGGTTTATGTCTGTAACAGAAACTGGCTCTAGGCCAGCCCATGGGTCCTCAAGCATTGAAGGTCTGTAATAGTTTTCCACATCATTAGACACTCTTTTCTCTCTGCCATGCGTTGTACCAAATGGAGTAGATGTCCTGGGTGATCCCTTTGGAAGAAAACCATCAGGTAAAGAAACATTTAATAGTCTAATTCAAACTTAAAAAAAAAAAAGATAATTAAAAAAAAAAATTAAAAAGAGCTCCTTCTACTGTAGTAGAGCTCTGAAGCTGATTATTAATTGTAATTACTATACCTCACTTGCATGTTCCTCAGGAAATACTAACTTCAATGTATTTTTACTTATGAGTGATGGTTTACTAGGATAAGAAAAAAGCACCAGCCTTCTCCAAAACACTTGTTCACATCACTCTGGCACACAGCTGTAGAAAAGCAGCTCATGCTATTTTTCATAATCTGCCTATGTCAACAAGACATCTAACAAAAGCTGAACAACAAAACAGGGAGTTAGAGGCTGAGGAAGAGCTGACAATATTAACAAGAGCAGAAGTGAGATATTAAGTACTTACAGATTGAACTTTGTATTTGTATAGTGCAAATAGCTACAAAGAATTAATCTGAAAAAAATTCTCTTTCAACTAAACCAGTGTTCTGTGAAATCTGAGAACAGGTAACTACTTTTCATATACAATCTCAATGGTAATCAGTGATTTAGCAGGTACTGACTTTTGCAGGGATTTTTCATATTTGATTTTTTTTAAGATCAAGGATCACAATTGCTTCTGTAAAGTTGCTACAAGTCTGCAGCCTAGAGACATGCGACATAAAGGAACTCCTACAATAATTTTCTCCTGTTAGCATCCTCCATTGTCCTTTTCCTCAGATTCACTCCTCTAAAAAGTTAGTTTTTGTCTAAAGCTGCATTTATTTAGATTATTTTGTTTTAACCAAAGTTAAACAGCCCATACTACAGATAGACAATAATCTCCAAGCATGCCCATTGCATTCTGTACAGTTAGAACAACAGGATTCCTTGAGGCTGATTATCAGATTTTGCATAGCAGGTTAAGTGCACTTGATTAATGGCCACTTTCCCCCAGAATCCTGCCATCCCTGAATTTCTGGATCAGCAGTGATGGTATCTGAATTTGACTAATAAGCCGTAACAGCATCTATGTAAATTGATCATATGAAACAATTTCTGAGTAAAACTGGGAAATGGTGCCATAAAGTGAAAGCCAGAAGAATAGATTTCAAACAGCTCGAACCCATTTCTGCTAATGTGCTGTGGCAAGAATATGTTGATGAGTTTCCAGCAAAAACTTTTCAGGAACTCCTGAAGTTTTTTGATAATGGATACCTGATCAAATGTGGGAACATCCATGCCTTATTTACGGGACATTTTTTTCCAGTGATTCTTTGCAGTTAGGTTATGTAGCTAAGACAATGATCTCAAATAGAAGAATTTTTAAAAGGTGGTGAATTACTTTAGTGCATAAAACCCCATGAGGGACAGAKAATCACCTCAGAATACACCTAAAAACTTTCTATGGAACATGGAGTTTCCTAGAGTAAATTGACTTGCACTAGCAAAAGTGACATTTATTTTAAGCACTCACATTTAGTAGTGAAGAAGCAGTACACAATGCACTCTGTCCTAAATCAACACAAAACCCCATCATCTCTAAATCACCACATTTAATTAAGACCTTTTAACTTTGACACTGTAAAACACATTAAATGTGGATCTTATTTAATGCTGTATTTAATCTGAGGAAGGCAAAAGAAATCTGAACTAATATAATCATCTGCTGTATTCAGTAAAGGAGCAAAATAATTCAATGGTAAGGCTCATTTGCATGGATTTATTTAATAATCTTAAATTTCACTGCAATGTGATGCAGGTCATCAGTAACACTGACATTACACTGACATTTTAGCATTTTTGAAACTTAGGAAATTTATCATTATATAATACAAGATGGACAGCCTTCAGTATGTATTACATTTAAGCATGTAGGTTAATCAAGTTTAGAATACTAGTCGTCATATGATGCTTTTACCCCTGATTTTTTTTTTTCTGGGAAGAAAACAAAATAAAAATGTGATTATTCGCATTATATTATAATTATAGGCCGGTGGAAAAGGAAAACACCCTTACCTGTACAAGTGAAACCATTCAATGCAAAAGGTACTATTTGGTACCAAAGTTAGCTTAAAAAACTTTCTATTAATGGACATTAATGCCAGCATCCTTCCCTCATTGAACTATCCTTAAAGAAACAGTCAATCTCTTCTCAGTACTTTCTCGACAGATAAAAAAATCTCTTTTTAGAGTAGAAAACAACATCTTTTGGTGCTATTCATTAACATGTTACTGAATGGTGTAATATTGACTTGAAATTTGGGACAGTTAATTCCCTTTATCAGCTTTCTTCACCTGATGTAATTATAGCTGCTGGCATATAAAAACCCACAAAAATTACAACTGTACCATTTCAAAAGGGTGGCATTTCTTTTAYTTTCTGTAATAATTTTTGAGCCACACCACTAAGCAGCTGCTGCTATTGGCTAGTTCACTAATTCCTGCTGGGTGTAGGAAATGAAAAATTACCCCTAAGTGAATTCTAAGCAGAGACGAGAAATGCAACAAAGAGAAATCACAGAATGGTTTGGGTTGGAAGGGACCATAAACATCAACCAGTTCCAGCCTTCCTCCCAAGGGTATGGATGCTCTAGTCTGGGTTGCTCAATGCCCCATCCACCCTGGCCTTGAACAATGCCCGAGATGGTGCATCCAAAACTTCTCTGGGCAACCTGTTCCATTGTCTCACCACCCTCAAAGTACAGAAATTCTCCCTAATATCCAATGCAAACTTACTCTCTTACATTTTAAAGCCATTTCCCCTTGTCCTGCCACTACAGACCCTTGTTTCCATAAACATGTTTTCATAAACTATAATGCAGAAGTATCTCTGTGGAAAAAACAGAAAGTGCTGTAAACTACTGGCCACATAAAGGCTGTTAGCCATTTCAGAAAAAAAAAAGCCCAGTGTGTTTTTCTTCAAGTTTTCTGTTTATTTCAAAGAATGAAAGTCTCCAAGCACAAAGTAAGCACAGAATGCTAATGGCATGACATTAATCGAACACTAAACATAAACTGTCTTTTGGATTTTCCAATGTAATTTTAAAGGGCCACCTAAGACTTTCCATCTTAAACGTAACTGAAGCATCAACAATTTAAAAAGCACTGTAGTCCTCTTAACAGGATTGATGTAAGAGAGGGGACAATGCACATGCCTCACAAGAAACATTATGCTTAGAAAATGCAAAAAGGCCTTCTACACAAATCTATTTATGGCCTCATGGGCACAGATTCTTGTCCACACCAAACCAAATGGGGACTCATGGTGACTAACTCTCTCAGTGACTGCCTCTACTGCCCTCCCAGACAGAACAGCTCATGTGTACACCCATAAAGGCATACAGACTCACACATTTCTTCAGTTCTAGGTAAACCTACAGATAAGAATATCCTCTGAGACTCCAAGGGAACTGCCATCAGCCAGCACACCTGAAACACTTAAAGTCTGAGACTGGATTCAAACTTTTACCTTTTTCACGTCATGTTTCTTACCTCAGAATGTAACCTGATTTTATGTAAGGTTTCTTACATTACAAATGTAGCCTGTGGGAGGGTTCCTGTCCTCAGGTCCTGACATGAAACAGCTCTGACTAAAACTAGGGACAAAAGGATTCCTGCATATTCTTCTGCTCAATTAATTCAAAGGCAGGCTTTGAAAAAAACACTTAATTGAACAGCCAAAGAGTGATCTTTTGAAGGGAAATTAGACATTGATGACATCGTTTGTACATCCAGAATCTGCAGCAGAAATGCCACATCCTTAGCTGTCTCAAAAGGCACTTAGGTTAAGCAATCTGTTGGCTTCCACACCAGGAGAATCTCTGCTGTTATGCTGAAGAAAATGTATAAATTTTATAATGATCCCCTTCTACCAACTATGAGATTCCTGAGTGAACTGCACCATAAGAAAGTAACAAAATACTAGTTTTAAAGGGACATGTAACAATGCAGTGCAGGCACATTAAGACTTTACTAATCTCTATTATGATGTCACTTCATTATCATATTTAATCCTTCAAGTACCAATAAGAACACAAAAAATTTATCATGGTTTATACTGCATGTGTCATTTGTTACACTCTTTTCTCTAATATTGCATAAAGCCAGTTATATAAAGCTTTTCTCATCTTGAGAATGGTCATCCCTGTGTGCATTGCTAGTCACCTACTACAACTAACTCGGCAGAAAAAATGCTTTTGATGGCTGCTGCTATTGATGGCTTTCAGGAAACCAGAAGCTTTCAGTCACTGCAAAGACTTTAAAATGAACGTCTGTTATCCCAACACATGGCCTCATTTCTCCTTAAAGGAGCCTCAGCTTAATTCTCTTTAATAGAGCACTCCTTTTCTCTATCCGCGTCCCTGAAAGCTCCGAGTGTGGATAGGGCGTGGATAGGGCAGTTCCCATGACGCAGGGCAACACAGGCAAATTAAAAGCACAGAGCGCTTCACCACTGTATTAAAGAAAACTGATCAAAGTGAGGCATATACCGGAGAAGGAGGTGTTTACTGAAGTTTCGGGCGCTGCTTCATATTCTACCTTCACACGCCAGAATATGAAAAAAAAAGAAAGTTGCACTCCTGTCAATCCTTGTGCCTTCACAACAGGCCAGGTCTGAGGCCCTCTTCCCTTCCCTCATCTCACAGCTGCCTATGCTCTGTCCATCCTGTCTACTGTGGGGTAATGGGCAGGGAAAGACTGATGTTGCCCAGTGCGGTTCAAGCCTCGCTCTCCCCTGAAAATCCTGTTGGCGGGCGGATACTGCGCTGGCATAAGCCCTCGGAGTGCTCTCTACCCAGCGGGCTACATGCCGCCTTTAGAAGCAGCAGCAGCAGCAGCAGTTCGCTCCCTCCCTCCCTTCCCTCCCTCCCTCTCCGCCTGGCCCCATACCTGAAAGTGCCTCTGAAAGCCGCCGGGCGAGCGCTTTTGCTGCGGCGGCGGGTGCAGAGGCGCTCCGGCCGGAGAAGCGCCGCCATACAGAGCCGGGTACCGGGGGCTGACGCTCTGCGGCCTGCGCGAGGTCTGCGCCCCCGGCGAGGGGCTCCCGAAGCGCCCCTGGAACCCGGGGCCTCGGGGCGAGAGGCCGCTGCCATACGGCCCGGGCCGGTGGCTGTAGGGCGGCGTGTGGTGGGGGCTCCCGTAGCCCCGCGGAGAGGGCGGCAGGGGCTCTCCGCCGAAGGAAGGGCTCCGGAAGCCGCCGCCCGGGTAGGGAGATGTCGGTGCGCGGAATCCCGGCCGGTACATGGCCGGGAATGGCGGCGGCGGGAGCGGAGCCTGTGCAATGGCGGCGGCGCCGCGTCCGCTCTTTTCTTTTCCCCCGCCTCTTCTCCCCCTCCCCCCTATGGCCGACGGGTTCCGGCCTCTAAACGTTCCGTGCCGGGGCGGATGAGGCGTCGTCCACCCTCCCCTGGGAGCAGGCCCGTCAGTCCCACACAGCGACCCGCCGTACTCTGCCCGAGGGATCCGGAGCGTTTGCAAGCTTAACGGGATTCATCTGGAGTGTCAGAAGACGCCTCGTAACTCAGACGATGAGGCTTGCGGCTTTCGTGGGCTCGGTGTGGCTGTCAGCGAATGCCCGCGGTTCCACAGCTGAYAAAAAAACAACGAAATTAACTCTTGTAAAGTGCCACATTTCGTGGCACTTTAGATATGCTTATTGTGCGCCTTTGTTCTGGAGTCTTTTAATGTCTGAGCCTGAAAATGCTACGTGTTACCGCAGTCCCGACTGAAAACGCACACAGTGACATTTAAATAGCATTTTAATGGTTTTCTTCAAAATCAATTTGAACTGTCAGCAATTGAGTGGTAGCTCAGGCAAAGACTTATACAAACTCGTGGAGAAATGCGCTTTCATAGGACAATCTCATGTTTAGACAAAGTCACTTTTAACAATGTCATTAGTGTTCCTGCTCTGTTCTCAGGTATGTATTAATATAAATTTTCAGCAACTCTAAAAATTTTTTTTTTTTATTATGTATTTTGGTCAGTACAACAAAGCACTACTCGGTTTTAGGACATTGCATAGGAAAAATAACGAAGGGTTTTCAGTACAGCAGTGACTAAAAGTTAACTATTAAAATAAGCAGGGTGTTTCTTTGCTTTATATACCAGTCTTGCTTTTCTTTGGCTTTAAACAGGTTTTGTTTTCAATGGAAGCAACTAACTTTATATTCTTGGGGAACTCAGCTTCACACTATATTATACAATCTCTCTGTGGAAAATGAGGCAATATCTTTTTAATTCTAAAACGGAAAGAGACTAAACCTGCTCGCTTAATTTTTTTTTTTATAATCCTTTAGTCTGGAATACTGTTTTTATTGTGCACACAAAGAATGCCATGTCTACACAAGACAGCTTATCAGTTTAATTTACCAATTCACCTAATCCATCTCATTCCTAAAAAGGACAGTTTAACTGAAACCCTTTTCACACCAAATGAATTAGAAATACATATTGTTGTGCACATGTTGAGTCACACTGGGGTAATTTCACTGATTAGTTTCTTCTTGTTTTCAGTTGACAAATCCAAACTGCTTCTAGGACTTTTAAGCATCCATGTAATACTTCTGATTAGACACAGCATGTGCAGTCAACAAACCTGTCATGTAGATTTTCTGTGTTCTTCCTCAGCATTCAGGCAGACTGACATGTGTCATTTCTTAAGCCTGTGCTATTCATAATGCTCGTTTTCAAACAGTCAGAAGTTTCAGATGCTTTTGAGCTACAGCAGTTGTCTTATCCTCACATATTTCTTCAAAATAAATGCTGCACCTCTGTGCAAGCTTTTTTAATCCAATTAGAGAGGCAAGAAGACACCATGGTGTTCCTCTAACAAGCCTTCTGCTCCGTCCTAACACAGACTAAAAATAGTCTGAGGGTGCTTCGCTCAGGGCAGAGTTGCTCAAAGGTCAGTTCAAGCTAAGTCTTCCATAGCTATACAGAACTGAAGACACAGCTTATAGTGTAAGTAATACTGCACCTTCAGTGACGGAGAACTGAGATGAAGGATCTACGTCGTGCCGGTGAGCGGATGTGGTGGCATCTAGTGCGGCTGCCTACCTTGGTAAGTGCGGAAATCCTTTCGGGGGTGATGGTGGGGGGCGGGGGCGGTGTTCTACTTTTATTCCACCTTGGCAATGTTGCATGTCGCTCTCTGGACGCCGAACTGAACTACAAATTTCCAGCCATCAAACAGCGGAATTCCTGCCGCAAACGTCTGCAGGACGCCTCCTTGCTTAATGAAGTCCAGGCAGGAGTGCTTCATAGGATAGGAGATGCGCACGGCGCCGCCGCTGCCACGTTGCGGGGAAGGCGCCAAGCAGCCGGGACCGGCACGGGACCGGGACGGGACCGGGGCCGCCCGCGCGTGCGCGCCCCCCGTCACCAGCGATCCAAGGCTGACCAGGGTGCGCGAGGGGAGGGGACGGTAGCGGCGGCGCCTGCGTCGAGCGCTCGGTCCTGTCTCGAGTAGCGGGGATGCTGCTCGCCGGGCTGGGAAGAAGGAGCCGGTGCTGCGGAGGGCTCTGGAGGAGCCCGTCGCTCGTAGTTGCCGGCGGCAGCGCCAGAGCCCTGACCGCTGCCTCCTCCTCCTCGTCCCCGAGCAGTGGCGGCGGGGCGCGGAGCGGAGGCACTTCCCTGGCAGGTACCAAGCCGTGCGGCGCCCTCCTCCTCCTCCGCCTCCCTGCTCTCGCCGCATCGGTTCCCCCTGTCCTGAGTTGGTGCGGCTAGGGCGGAGAACTGAGCCGCCTCGCTGGGGGGCGGGCGAGAAACACCTACGAGAGGTTCTTGCCCTGAGGGGCTGGCGAAGGGGTCCCGCGGCGGCGGCCGTGCGGAGCGCAGCCCTTGTGCTGCCTCGCGGGCTTCGGACTTCGCACCGCTGCCGTGCTCGCTGCCCGCAGATCGCTTGTGACACGGAGCGTGTCGGCTCTCCAGGCAGCCTTGGCTAATGGCATGCCCAGCTCCGGGCCTGATTTTTTTGTGAGGTTACCAAAGTCTAACTGCGTACAGTTGTGGTTTTGTTTTTATTTTTAAATGAAATGAAATCAACCCAAGTTGCAACAAAGTGATCTTTCTTGGCTTCTCATTTCCTTGTTATTAAGTGGCATAGGAAAATAGTAACAATAGCGTTGGTGGCATTAGAATGGGAGGAAGTTTGCAGTTCTGCCTCCCACTATGAACATACCAAGTGTGTTTCGGGCTGGAGTGTATCCTTTGATTGAGAATTAGTCCGCTGTAGTGATCGACTTGATTATAACTTACTGCATGGATAAAGTAAAATGTACCGATTGTGCAAGCCAAAGTAGAGACAATAGGCTTGAGCAGTCATGTCTTCTGACATTGAAAGTAATTGGAATGGGTCTGTTAATTTGCATTGTTGCAAAAATTAATTTGCTCTCTTCTAGGTGCCATCTTCTGTCACTGACAAGTATAAAGGAAATATTTTTGGAGTATTTTTGGAATTAATTTCTTTCTGTGGGAACAATCTCTATGTCGGTTAGGTAAACCATCTGAACTTAAGAGTGTAAATAATATTGAGTGCGATTGGATCTATTTATTCTTAATTGAAATTATTTATGAATGATACATATGACAGTCTAATTCACAGTAAGTTCAAGCATCCTGGGAATCGAGAGTTTGCATAAAGAATATAGTTAGAGCTGGGAGTGTGATTTTTTTGTTCAGTCATCAAGTTACTATTATAAATAAATCAAAAATACAAGAGAAAATGTGAGTTTCCATTTTAGAAAATTTAGATTGTGGAGCCAGAATTCCAACGAAGTTTAACTTTGGGTATGTGTCTGCATAGGAAGCTAGTCATGAAAAGAAAAAAGAACAAACAAACAAACAAAAAAAAAAAACCAAAAAAAAAACAACCAGGAGATGTTTCTAGGTAATGTGCATCAATTCTGTTTTCTTGTGTTTGTTAGTCATGTGGTTCTGTTTCTTTCTGTTTCTACAGTAGATAGCACTCCCTTGTTCATGATTTGTGTACCAGAACTGCTGTTTCTCTGATGTTCTTTTGCAATTTTTTTTTCAGCAAATTAGATTCTCTCTGAAATGCAAATCTAGCTCCTATATATTATTTTTGGTGAACCTCTATGTTCTCCTAGTCTGAGGAGACTAACAGGTCTATTCTTTTCCTTGATTTTCAGAAGAAAACTTTTGATCTCTTTTCTTTCTTGCATTTCTTCATCATTGTGGATATCTGTTATTTATTGGTATTAAAAAAAAAAATCACAGTGGTCTGTTTGTCTTCAGAGCAACAGTTGTGCTCTCCTATTCTGTTCCACCTATGGAATAGTCCTAATGCTGAATAAAGTGTTAGATGATGCTATAATGTGAGTGATATGATAATTAGTCAGGATTCATCAGTTTTAGTTATGCATAAATACATATTTGCAGCTTAATCTTAACATTTTATAGGCTTTTTTGAGAAATGTGTTTATGGATTCCTACAATTTGGCTGTAGATAAAGAAACGGTTGGCTCTGAAAACTCGCTGTTATTCTGGTAGTGTGTCTGTGAGTAGCCCTAAATATTGGCTCATGACAAGGTGGGCTATGAAATAATAAAGTGCAGCTCTAAAGGCGTGGAGAGAATAGAGGAAGATGGATTTTTTTTTTTTTTTTAACTGAAATTATATAAGTTTAATTTTTGGGAAGTTTCAGTAAAGCTTTTTACATAATTTTGTAAAAAGAGTAATGTTTTGGTGCACCCAGCTTTACAAGACTGAAGTTACACTGGAGAGAGAGTCTGTGGTGTTTACCTGGCACAATTGTTTTCCAACACCTGGAACTCACTGAGGTATGCAGCACTGAAGAGAAGAGCAACCTGAGATTTTCCTAAAGGCTTTGAAAGTGCAAAACACTTAGCCATTCCTAGATGTGCATGTTTTCATCATACTGCTCAGTCTGCATATTTTATTAAAGCCCAAAACCTGTTAAATGGAAAATCTACCTGGAGCAATTGATAATAATGGAGGAATATTTCTTAAAGATGAACAATGGGATGCAAGTGTACTCCTTGAGAGCAGTAGAGTTAATAAAAATATTTTAGCTGAAGTCCTGAATTTCCGATACTGCTTCATTTCTTGTTTTTGTCTCTCTCTGGATATACATCTCCTTGTTACCATATGTGGGAAGGAGAGTTGTGAAGATGACTGAAGGGTGGTTCAGGTTTAATGGAGGGAACGTGGAGCAGGTGATACAGGCATTCACTGCTGCACTTCTTCATGATACAGGAGATGCACCACATTGCCCTGTCCACTTTGAACAACTGTGATTGGTTTGATTACCAACCCCCCAACCTGTTTTACGTATTTTACTTACTTGGACAAGCGCCAAAAAGAGATGTTTGCCACAAGCTGGTATGTGTCATTTTAGTAGTGTAACTGATCAGGTGCTTTTTCTGTGTGTGTGAAATAAGACCACCTTCCAAATAGTAATGAAATTACCATCCATACAGGGTAGTGAAATTTTTGCATCCCCACCCTAAAAATAAAGACACTGAGTGATAAGAAGATAACTCAAGGCCACCAAAGAAATAGTTGGCCAACCTGTGCTCTAGACTGTGAGATAGCTTGCTCTGTCTTTGATGTTTATTGCCATCGCTGTTTTTTCTTAAATGTGGTTTGATTGGAAAGGGTTAGGGAAAGGAAGAAAACATTGTGGTTTCCTAATAATTATCTTGCTCATGCAGCTGCCCTTGAAAGTGAGTGTATTTCCTTGGCTCATATATTCTGTCGTAAGTTTTGTGTTGTTTTTGTTTGTATGTGATGCAAGTAGATAGATCCACACAGGCCAAAACACTTAGTGAGGATACAATGCTTCACACTGGTCTGCTACCCTTACTTTTAGTTTGTGTCATTCTGATGTTGCCTGCTAATGCTTTTATTGTATCTTACTTCCAATTGGTCTCTAAGCGCTGTTTGAGTGTTTGTGGAAGGCATATATGAAATATCTCTACAAAGTGGCTTTATTGTGGAATTGCTAGGGGGTTAGAATAGGTTCTGAAATGTCATCCATTAGGTTTTCCAACTTTGAAGGCTTTACTAGTGTAATAATCTCCTAAAAACCAGCTTGTTCAGAAAGCTTGATTATAATTTATTAGGGGAGGGAGATGAAGGAGGACGATGAGAGAGTGTCATAAAAATAATGTTTTAATTTTTTTAAAGATCTAAGTCACTGTTTTCTGTTTCCTGTCAGGTGCTAATAATGTAAAGCCATTGGATGGTGTGAAAATTCTTGATTTAACAAGGTTTGTGTTTTCTCTGTTTTGCAATACTGTGTCTAAATGGAAATATTCTCATTGGAAAACTAAGAAAAGTTTTGTTTTTTTTACTATTAAAGGGTTCTTGCAGGGCCATTTGCCACAATGAATTTGGGCGATCTAGGGGCTGAAGTGATAAAGGTGGAAAGACCAGGTAATATTTTTATTTGTATATTTTAGATATAATAAGAAATGGGTATTGTATGTGTATATATATATATATATATATATATAGTGGTTTTCTTTTTCCACCCAGTGCATGCACTTCTTATCCAAAGAGTTGCTAAGGATTGGGTAATGGTAAAAAATGCTTCATTCTTATGGTATAGTTACACTTTTTAGTTTTAAAGACCCTAGCAAGAATAGCAAATTGCATGACATTTGGGTCTTTTCTAGAAAAAGCCCCTTCACTTGGCTCTCCGTTTTATGCATTATTATGCATTCAGGGTGTGTAATTGTGCAATAACAGCTGCACATTATGTCATGTATCTTTTCCTCCTTTAAGTTTCCATATTTTAAGTTTCCCTCTTTTGATATTATTAGTTTTGAAACTAGCTGGTGGAAATACTTGAGATACTAGACAGTATTACACTCCCTATATTTTATAACATAAAAGTTTATAATAATTTATGACATAAATTGAGATCCTAAACATACTGCATACCCTATATTTTATTAGTAATAGGAAATATTGAATATTTGACCATTTAATGACACATTGAATGCTTGACAAAGGTTCTGCCACATCAGTCTATGTGTTGTGCTTATTTTACTGACCACTGTTATGAATGTTTTCACTCTTGTTACTGGGCAAAGGTACAGCAATTTTGCAATATCAGATTAGACCACACTGGTGGTATTCCAAGCACCTACGATGTAGGAATGGAGCAATGTCAGCACTTAAGTAATGATTTTGGAGCTTTGCATTGTTTGTGATTGAAGGAGAAGGGCAGCTTCAGAATTCTAAATTTCAAACATTTTAGAATGTGAGTAATTCTCTCTTTCTGTGAGCAGATATCTACTTTCCCAGGAGTATTAATCCAAAAAGACAGTAGCCCCACTAGTATTCTATAATGAAAATATTACTGAAATGTTTTGCTTTGAATCACATGAAATACTAACACAGAGCAGAGATTGCCCCTGCCCCCCTAATAAAGATACTAAACAGTACAAATGTTGATAAGAAATTTTTATGTTTGTATAACTTCTGTCACTGTTGATCTTAAATGGTTGTAAACTTTTGTGTTACTATAGTGTATAGCACAGTTATGGCAGTCTCTATTGGTACCTAAGGTTCTTCAGTTTTTTCCTGTATCTGTGCCCAGTATCAGTCTTCTGAGTTGCCTCACTAAGTCGAGTTTTCAGTCATGTGAAGTTAATGAGTAGGTCAAGTGTAGGTATTGAAATAGATATAGGAATTTGCATGCTTGCTGACACTCAGGACAGTGTTTGTATCTGAATTTGAATTTGGCTTTAATTTTATTTAAAATAGATTGCTAGTCTTCATGATGTTTAAGAAAGGTTTAAAATGGGAAATTAAGCATAAATGATAGAGTGACAGTGTCTACAGCATCTTTAATGCTGTCTTGGCTTTCTGTGAGGCAGGATTTCTGTAAGAGCTGGAAGTGAGGCACTGCACCAGCCATAGCAAGCGCTTCTTTTTGTTGGTGCTGTGCAGCATGCAACCTAATCAGTTACTGTCTATCAGTGGTATCTTGATTTTGTGTTTGGAGTGTTTCAGGTATATCTCACTCACTTGATTAACTGTGTGACTTGGTGTGGGTAAGAACTTTTACTAAATTCTTCAGGATTGCCTGAAAGAATTGCATTGTAGCTCTACTTGGAGTTAAAACAAACAAACTGCCAAAAAACCTCCAACTCCTCTTTTCGCAGCCTCCCTCAGAAAACAATCAAAAWTCCATCCCACAAGTAAAAAAACAATCAAAAAACCTGCAAATACACTAATTCTCCGTGGCTGTGTTGGTATTTTAAAGACTAAATGGAATCCCAGCACTAGCAAACCCTTTGTTCACTTTTCTTAATTGTGTTCACTTTTAGGTGGTTTTTGATATAAATATCCTTAAATATATATGTTAAACTAATATTTGTCCTACCTTCTAGATGAAGCTTGGATGACTTAAATGTGATAAGGGAGGAAAACTTTTTATTCTTTTTATTTGCTGTCAGTGTGATATTGAACAACTATGAATTTGTGATGGTATTTCTTTCAGGAGCTGGTGATGACACAAGAGCCTGGGGCCCACCTTTTGCTGGGACAGAAAGTGTTTATTTTCTCAGTGTCAATAGAAACAAAAAGGTAAATGGGATGTGGAACTGAACATGACCCTATGTTTTCTGTAATTATAACTGAATATATAACATTTCTTAGTTTGATTCTTAACATGTATAATAGAGCAATACTTACATTGGCCTAACGTTAAAATGAGTAAATTTTGTGAGAAAACCTGTAAGTTTTTTAAACGAAATATGTTGCAAATCTCTGGTAGGATGCTGTAGGCAGCTGAGGCAAATTGAAAAAACAAGAGGGGTCATGCTGGCCTTCAATACCTGCTGGTGCTAAATAACTGAAAATGAAACCTGCTGAAAGGAGGTGGTCTATGTATTAAAATTCATTTATCCAAATTAGCTAGAGTGTGAAATTTRACYGTTGGTTATGCTTAGAAGAGGCTGATAATCCTTTTTGCATAATTTTTCACACAAATTACTGTTATATGCTTTTTTAAATCCCCAGAGTATTGCTATCAACCTGAAGGATTCAAAAGGAGCAAAGCTGATCAGAGAGGTAGGTTTTGATAGCATTCAAGGGGTTCTTATTTTGTATTGTTGGGATCCTGAGTAATAAGAATTGAACTCTGCATTTCAAGTGTTAATTTGATAATTAAAAAAAAAAAAAAATCTGTATATGCAGTAAATTGGGTAAATTACAAATCTGTGCTTTTGGACTCAGTGTTCAGTGTAAGTCCTAATGACTTTAGATTTAAATTTATATGAAAATATCAAAAGCTTCAAATGAAATACTGTGAAGAAATGGTCTAAATAGCTATTCCTTTGCTATTACTGCTGTTGCGCTTGATCTTGCTGTACTACTGCATTAGGAAGATTCAAGGTGGACTGATCTGATGAAGTTAGTGAGCAGTTGAGGTGGTGCTTCACTCCAGTATTTGCATTTTTTTGAATGTTACAATGTATTCATGGCTTCAGTTGCTCTACATCTTTCTGACAAACATGGTCCTGTAGGTGAAACTTAGTATTTGTTTCTTTTTCAGTATCTGACTTCAGGGTCTTTTAAGGAGATACATTTCTCTAAAAAAATTGAAAGCATCATATTTCATGTTTTGTGAAACTTATGTTTCATCATCCCTTTATTTATTATTTGTTGAGAAATGCAAGACCTGCTACTTGCTAGTGCTGAGTTTTAAGCCCTGCAGTAGTAGCAGCTGCCTTCTGTTACTATTTGTTTCAATACCTGTTCCAATCCCTTTTTCACAATGAGACTCTATGTGTCATGCAGTAGGTGGAATTGGTCTAGTATTGGTTCTGTCCCAATTTTTGGTTGGGAATATTGCATGAAATAGAAGTAGATTAAGTTTTCTGATGCTTTTGATTTGTTAGCTGTGCAAAGATACTTCATATGGAAATCTTCGGAGATTATAAGCCAAGGATTCTATAGTGCCTTTTCTTTTTGCAGAACACAGCCATTTATTGTTGATTTGTTATGAGGCTGTGTTTATCTTCTAAAAAATCTAGAAGCAGGAACTTTCATTTGGAAAAATTTTGCATGGTATAACATGGACTTTTAATCTTTTTGGATAAACTAATCATATTCTAAGTAAGTACTATGAATTTTTTCCCCTCATGGAAGAAGACTAATTTGTAATTTGACCTTTAAAAATGCTGAAAAACCCCTACTCAAAGTGTCCATTGATTCCCCATGTGTGGGCTGAAKGTGTTTGAAGAGTCAAAGACAGCTGGGCCTATGAATCAGGATGAGCTGGAAGAAAGAATAACATAACCTGTTAAATATTTCCCACACTAGCTGTAAAAATTAGGAGACTTAAAATGACAAAGTAATTTCTTATATTTTATATACTTTATTAAAAATGGTTTAATAAGGGACTGTAGCTTTCTGTTCCTTAAATGAATGCCATCCCTCTTTGTGATATAGCAACACTGAGAACTGATGAGGCACTCTTTGTCATACTACTTGTGGAATTGTTCATCTTTCTGCTTGATTTAGAGTGATATATTTTGAAAGTATTTGGTGCAGAGGTCTTGACATTCCATTATTTATCTCAAATGGAACTTCTCTTTGGAGTTTTGTCAAAAAGTACATGTAAAGGGAAGTTATCTGTAACAGGCTGTTATTTTCAGTTGTTTCCTGCTATCATCAGGACAGTTGTGTGTAGAATTGAGCATTGTTCAGCATTGTATTTGTTACTGTGACAGGTAGTGTCCATGTCTTTAAAGCAGCTGATGACAAATAGAAATTGAATTTTGTGACACTGCTTACTCATACATAAATATGAATTGTGTCCTGAGTGTAGATGGTACAAAGAAATGTAATACGGTTGTAATTTTTTTAATTAAGAAAGGTATCATGGTTAGAATGGATTTTGTTTCCCTCTCTTATAAATTTCGTGTAAGTGGAAGAGGGCAAGTCTCAATTTAGGATCATATTAAAAACAGGAGAAGCGAGTCGTCAGGTGTATGACAAAAGCACTGACTTGATAATTACTCAGTAGTATGAAGTGAGCTGAAGAAATCTGTTAATCAGGAGTCCTGACTGCTTTTCCTCCTTTGGCACAGCACTAAAAATATTTTTTCAAGGGTCTGTTTTTTCATACATGATTACTTGATTTCCACAAAATTATTCTTGTGTCTTTTTTCTTTCTTTATTCTGTGTCATGTGTAGCCCTGCCTTCCCTTCTAATATTTTTGGCTCAATGTTAACTRCCTTGGATTTTTTTTTGTCTTCAGTGATTGTATATGTGCCAGTCCATGCTCTGACATATTTTTGTTTTATCTCTTTAGAACATTATTCTTCAGTTATTGTCAGAAAGTTGTTTTAAGAACCTTGAGGATACTTCTCTCCTGTGTATTATTTTGCCTTAACTAATGAGTTTTTTTTATTCATGAAAAACTCGGAGACTTCAATTATCTGTAATTTCTGCTATGATGATGCTAATTTTTATTAAGGGATTAATTTATCAGCTACGCTTAAAAATGGGTGCACAAATGTGCACCTGTCAGGRGACATTTCTTAAATTCCTATGCACACACACAGGACAAAACCAGGCAAAAAGCCTACAAATCCCTCACGGTATACATCTTTCATTTAACATGTAGTTGTCTTGCTTYAGTAGTTAACTTTCGTTAGTCTTACTGAAATTTGTATATGTATATGTGCTTATAACTTTTATAAGAGAGGATAGAATTTAAAGCCTATCAAGATTATATATTAATCTTAACATCAGTAGATTTTTGGACTAGGTCATTCTTTTGAAAGCAATTAAGTCATATTGCACAGCTTGACAGCACTACTGTATTTGATGTGACTTCAAGAGCTTAATTTTAACCAGTGTTGTTGGGTGTCACAGCAGATGGACAACATGACACAAGTGACGAGCAAAAGACCCTTTAATTTTTGGGCTGAGCTCCTTTTATCTATTTAGCAACAGTGGTATACAAAGTCTTCTGCATAACTGGCATGCATCTATTGGATAATTAGCAGCCCAATCTCTACTTATCAGCATATGATTGGTGCATTGCAAAAGYGATTTTTGCTCTGTCTTTGGCATGTACCTTCATCTACCTTATCTGACTTTGTTCTTCAATATTCCTTCTTCCTTTTTTCACAGTCAGCTCAAGGCCATTAGTTGCACTGCCTTGGTAACGTCCTCCTCTGTCTCGTCTTCCTCCATCCAGACTTTCAGATTCCCTTTTGTTTTTCCACATCTTAGGGGTACACAATTGTCAGATGCATTTCAGATTCAAAACCTGCAAGGCTGCAATACCAGCTTTCGACCTCCAAAGGTTCCGTTTTTCGTTTTTGAACCAGAAATGCTATGATCAYGGTCCTCTGCAGGGCCCTTTGCAGAAAAGACAGCAAACACGGCACCAACAACAACATTAGCACTACCACAAGCACAATTACTCCAGCCACCCTCAGCATATCCCTGAGCCACCCTGAAAAACCCCAATTATCAAACAGCCCATCAATACAGCTACCACTTTCTCGTGGCATTCTCACGCCTTCCTGTAATTCCTGTATGTTTGCAGAAAGTGATTTTGAATGGTCTGATAAATTCATGCAACACAGACCTTCAAAATCCTCACATCCATGCCCATGTGCTAAAAGCAAAAAATCAATAGCTGCCCAATTCTGCAAGGTAGCATGATGCACAGAGTTAACATCAGTTGGTAATCCTGCTAAAGCTGCCGAAGTGGCATTAGTATGCTTAGCAAACCAGCAGCCCAGCTTATCAAGCTGCCTCAAAGCATTTGCTCTACCCAACAGAGCTGAAAGAGAAGCCATCACCCATGAGCCAAAACCCCAAAATTCCAGGTCATGCGTACAATCTGGTTTGTACCCCGGGAGCGCTCTGTGCTGCTGGTGCAACAACCATGTGATGTTGCTAGCCAATGTGATATTAGGGAGCATCTTTGTTAATTGCCCAAAGGTGCAAGGTCCTCCCACCATGTTGGAGGGGAGGCTTGCCCAYGCCCGATCTTCACATATCAGAAAGACTCCAGGAGGCAGCTGTCCTAGCACAAGCTTGTTCTGAAACCCCACACCCATGCTCTTATTGCGCCAGGTGGAAATATTACCATACCAATCTTGCAAAGGCAAAACATTCAGTTTGGTGCCATCATAGCATCCCCCCATCCAAGCACAGGATACTTTAAAGGTCACGCAAGCAAGTGCATGAAGAGAACCCAGTAAATCTACTCCTGTGACTCATTAGGATAGCTTGGTGTCAACCTTGTTCTCCCTCATCCCGTTGTTCTGTTCACTAGTGCTCATATTAATGTCTCATTTTGCGATGGCACCCCCACCAAGCATGTCTGGAAAGGAGAACGAGGTGGATCAAGTGACACACACATAGATGATTGATTCAAAGCATGAGCTAGAGTCACCCAACTATTCCCTTTAGGCAGTGAGGGCATCAGTGCCATTCCCAACCTGCTACAAYTCCAGGCAGCGATGGAGGCGATGATGAAGATCGTCAAAAGAACTCTAGCCCATACCATCGTCATTCCTGCATTGGTTCTGCTTCAAATCAGGTCTCACACACCGTGCTGGCACCCAGCAGGGCCCGGTATCTGTGGAGACACAAGCATACCCACGCCCCCAAGTGATGAGGTCCCTTACCTAAACCTTTCCTCAGGGGAGGGTCACTGCTGCTTCTGACTGCAAAGACAAAAAATGCTTCACAAGAGCTGGAATGTTAGCATCAGAAGGCATCATAAGGTGATTGATTGTATACAAGGCCTTCTGTAGCCTGCTATGTGGGGGTTCCCCTGACAGTTGGGCTCCCTATTCTACTTCTATATATAAGAAGCATGCCTTGTTATGGTAACTGTAATCAATAATTTGAAAATTAAAACCAGTTAAAAATATTTCTAATGTAGACAAAATGTGAATGATGGAGATACATTCTTTCTACCACATTTTTCACATGTGAAGATTGTTCTATATTGCCAAAAGCCTTAGAAAAGTGATGTGATAATATAACAGTTTTGTTTAATCACTTGAGGTTTTGACAGTCTTCTCTCTAGATACGCAGCATCTCTGATATGTAGTTTGCAGAAATACACAGTCTAACAAGTAAAAAATCTCTCTAGGCTTGTAAATTTTCTTTTATCAGAAAGATTGGAGCCATTTTGATTAGCAAGATTTTAAAATTAAATTGCATAGGAATTTTATTGAATTTTTGGGAGCTAATTTACAGATCTTACTCATTCTTTTCTTTTCTAAAGCTTGCAGCAGCATCTGATGTTTTTGTGGAAAACTTTGTCCCTGGGAAGCTGGCTGAAATGGGTCTAGGTTATGAAGACATTAAAAAGATTGCTCCTCACATAGTGTACTGTTCAATAACAGGTATTTTATGTTCAATTCCTTGTGTTCATTATTTCCTTTCTTTCAGTCAAAGTGTTATAAAAGTCATGTGTTTGTATAGAAGTATGTTACTTTTATGTCAGTTAAGATCAATTGAAATTTTGAGTTCAATTCAAAAACAGGTGTAGAAAAGCTGAGGAAGCAACCATATCCACAGCTTAATAGTTGTTCAGTGTCATTACCATGCCAGCCTGACATGTTCCTGTTGATTTCAGAGGACCCAGGATGGGCTGGCCTCCTTGGATTTTGCTTTGAACTAGCTGAAAACTTAGATTTCTTGCCGTTTTACTGACTCAGTTTACATATTATATGTTTTAAATCTGGTAATCTCAGTTTTTTATTCCCCTTTATTTCTCTTCAGAATTGTGCATCTACATGTTCATGGAAGCTTTCCATGATTTTGGTAACTGAAACAATAGAAGAACTGTACTTTATAAAACAGGGAAGAATGAAAAGAAAGTAGACACATGCATGCAGTTCCTAATATTTATATAAAAATAATTTTAAGTCCAAAAAACTGCTTRAAAAAGCTCCAACCAAAACGACCCCCCAAAATCTTGATCAAGCACTAGAAGTCTAATATTAAAATGCAATTAAATTACAGCAGAAGTTACAGGTATTTTTAGACTGGCTTAAAATCTTAGTTACAAGCCTGTTTTGCCCCTGAATTTCTGCAGAATAAGTGGCTTTGGCTTTTTGGTTACTGGGTATGGATGTAATTTCATAGAAATCAAATAATTTTTGTGTCTTGTGATGTATTTATCATGTTTGTGTGGCAAATGTCTGAAAATGACAAGAGTAGAAAGAGAATTTTATTCAGGGCTTGCTGACAATCTTTGTTTAAACACCTATTTAGGCTGGTTGGTGGCTAGTTGCCACAATGTTTTTTGTGTTTGGTTGTGCATATAGTCTCACAACTGGAATTTATCACGTGGGTTTGCATTTTTTTTGTTTGGTTTTCTTTGTTCAGTTGCTGTATCCATAATGATGAAAAATAACAAAAATTATATCCAAGCAACAATTTATGTGAGGTACAACACCCTGTCATTATGTGTCAKATGCTCCAGTCTCTTCATCAGCTTTGTGACTCTGCCTCAGTAAGTTGATGTCTGCCTTGCCCTGGGTAGCCCAGAGCTGGGCACAGGATTGCAGACACGGCATCAGCAGTGCTGAGAAGAGGGAAGGATCTGCCTGCTTGGCCTGCATAACACTCTTCCAAGTGCCTAGCAAAATACTCTTGTCCTCCACTACTAGGATATGTATCTTTATATGTTTTAAGTGTTTCCTCAGCTGAAGGTAACCCTTGCTGCTGACTTTCCCTCTAGTCTCAGGGACCTAGGACTCCTAAGAGCCATCTTTTTTTTGGTAAATACTGAGGCAAAAAAGCATTAAATACATCCGCCTTCTTGTCCTTTGTCCATTTTGCAGTAGGTCCATATTTTCTCTAAAATTTCTTCTGCTGCTGATTTGCTTGCAGAATCCTTTCATGTTGCCCTTCCTGTCTTTTGCCAAGTTCAACTCCAGGTCAGCCTGTGCTTTTCTAACCATATACTTGGAKGATGAAACAGCACCTCTATATTTCTAGGTCACTTGCCTCTGCTTTCACTGCTTGGAAAACAAGTTGGACAAGGATCACATAATATTGCTGTTTAAAGCTTTGTATAATGCACAACTTACAGTTATATTCTATAATGGAAAACACATAAGACTTATTCGTGAGCTATGACAACTTGAAATTGCAAGTATTTGACAAGTAAGAGCTAAGTGATGTTTGTCAGGCATCTATAAAGCAACTTGGAATCTTAAAATATGGTTGTTAAAGTCTTGGATACTCAACGGTGATAAGCAGTGTCTGTTTAAGGATGATGCAACTTTTAGGAATAAAGACATAAGCTCCAAGCCCTAAAAAAAAGTCAGCTCATGAATCCATTGAGTTAGGAAATAGCAAAGCCTCAATCTAAGCACATTAAAAGGAGCAATCAGATTAGGACCAAATGTACATCTGTGATAGAGGGAGCTTGATGATGATATGCAGGAAGGGTTTTTGAGCACAATCAGGCAGAAAGCTGATTTAAGAAGAATTCCTGATTGATTTTTAAAATCTTTGTGACATGATTCTAGATATTACAATTCCTAACTCTTTTGTGCTGTGGTTGCCTTTGCTGGATTCAAATATGTTTGGCGGTTTTTGGAGGTCTTTATTGGTATTTTTTGGTGGGTTTTTTTGTGAAGAGAGATGAGAATAGGTATGAGGCTCTTGAACTCGAGGGTCAGGCAAATGACAGTGAAGGTGAAGGTCTATCTGGGGCAAATCAGTCAACCAGACACATTACAACTACACCTGTACAAAAGGAAGGATGGGTGATTTTTATGAGTGACTCCCTTCTGAGGGGAACTGAGGGTCCCACAGACTGACTGGCCCTGTCCCACAGGGAAATCTGCTGCCTCCCTGAGACCTAAGTAAGAGATATTACTAGAAGACTCCTTGGACTGATTCAGCCCTCTGATTATTACCTAATTCTGGGTGTCCAGGTTGGCAGTGACACTCCTGGGGCAATCAAAAAGGACTTCAGGGCACTGGGATGACGGGTTGAAGGAATAAGGGTGCAGGTGGTGTTTCCCTCAATGTTTTCAGCTGAAAGAAATGGGAGAATCCTGATCAACACATAGCTTAAAGGCAGGTGCTATTGGTGCAATTTTGGCTTTTCCCATTGTGGGGTAGTTCATACAGCACCAGGCTGGTTGCAGGCATGTGAGGCTTGACTGTCTGAAAGGGTGAAGAGGATTCTAGGCCCATGGGTTGACAGAGATGATTGAGAGGGCTTTAAACTTAGTTTGAAGGGGGAAGCAGGTATGACTAGACTCGCTAGAGATAAGCCTGGGGTGTCATGCCTGGGGTGAACTTGATAGCCCAGCTGGAGTGCATCTACATCAGTATGGGTAACAAACAGGAGGAGCTGGAGGCCATCATGCAGCAGGAAAGCCATAATGTGGTTACCATCACAGAAATGAAATGGGATCAGTCATGTAAATGGAGTGCTTCAATTCATGGCTGCAAGCACTTCAGAAGGGACTGGTGAGGAAGGAGAGGTGAGGGGGTGGCTCTGTACATTGAGTACTGTTTCAGCTCTACAGAGCTCGAGGATAATGACAGGGCTGAGAGTCTATCGGTAAGAATCAGGGGAAGGCAAACAAAGTAGACATCCTGATGGGAGTCAGTTATAGATGACCCAAGCAGGGTGAAGGGGTGGATGGACAATTCTGTAAGCATCTGTCTTACTATTGCTAGCCCTTGTTCTTGTTGAAAAATAACTTGTGGGATGTCTACTGRGAACTCAACACAGTGGAGAGGAGGAAGTCAAGAAGGTTCCTGGAATGTGTGGAAGACAGCTTACTGACACAGCTGGTAAGTGAACTTAGCAAGGGGGGTGCCCCACCAGACCTGCTGTTAAACAGAGAAGTGCTGGTGGGAAATGTGGTGGTCAGAGGRGATCTTTGGCTCACTGACCATGAAATTACAGAGTATTCTATTCTTGGTGAAGTATGGAAGGGGCCAACAGAACCTCTACCTTAGACTTCTGGAGGGTGGACTTTGGCCTTGTCAGGACGCTGGTTCAGAGAGTTCCTTGGGAAAGAGCCCTTAATAACAAAGAGATCCAAAAATACTGGACATAATTTAAGAAGGAAATTGTAAAGGCACAGGAGCAGGTTGTCCCTATATGCCAAAAGAGGAGCTGGCAGGGAAGAAGACTTGGCCTGACTCAATAAGGAGCTTTTCCTGGAACTTGGGGGAAAAAAGAGAGTTTATCAACTTAAGAGCAAGTGGCAGGCAACTGAGGAAGAGTGCAAGGATGTCATTAGGTCACATAGAAAGAAAATTAGAAGGACGAAAGCTCTTCTAGACCTCAACTTGGCCACTTCTGTAAAAGACAGTAGAAAGTGTTTTCATAAATATGCTAACAACAGGCACACAAAGCCTCCTTTGCCTCAGTCTTCAACAAAAAGATTGGGGCTGGATTATCAACCAGCTCCCTGAGCTGGTGGACCGGGGCAGGGAGCAGAACAGACCCCGTGTAATCCAGGAGAAATTTGTTTGTGACCTGCTGTGCCACTTAGACACAAGTCCATGGGGCAGATGGGATTCACCTGAGGGTCGTGAGGGAGCTGACAAAGAGCTCACCAAGCTGCTCTCGTCATTTATCATCAGTCCTGGCTAAYGGGGAAGGTCCCAGACCAATGGAGGTTGATCGATGTGACACCCATCCACAAAAAAGGCCAGGAGGATTCAGGGAACTACAGGCCTGCCAGCCTGACCTTGGTGCCCAGGAAAGTTATGAAACAGATTATCTTAAGTGCATTACATTGCACATACAGGATCCCTCAGCCTGGGGATAACGCCCAGCCAGCTGAGTTTGTGAAAGGCAGGTTCTGTTTGTCTAACCTGATCTCCTTTTATGACCAGGTGGCCCACCTGGTGGATAGGAGAAAAGCTGTGGACGTATTGGACGTATCTGCCTGGACTTCAGCAAAGCCTTTGATACTGTGTCCCATGGCATTCTCTTGGAGAAGCTGGCAGCCCGTGGCCTGGACAGGTGCATGCTTTGCACCCAGAGAGTGCTGGTGAATGGTGCCACATCCAGCTTAGGGATGGTTGTAAGTGGGGTTCCCCAGGGTCCAGTATTGGGACCAGTCCTGTTAAATACAGTTATTGATGATCTGGACAAGGGGATTGGGTGCACCCTCACTCAGTTTGAGAATGACACCAAGTTTGGAGGGAGTGTTGCTCTGCTGGAGCGTAGAAAAGCTCTTCAGAGGTTTCTGGCCAAGCTGGAACAATGGGCTGAGGCCAGTGGTGTGAGGTTCAGTATGATGAAGTGCCAGGTTCTGTGCTTGGGTCACAGCAACCCTCTGCAGCACTGCAGGCTGGGGACAGAGTGGCTGGATRCTGCCCAGCAGAAAGGGTCCTCGGTCTACTGACTGCC